CCACCCAGCTTGAAAAGAACTGGAGGAAGTTCGTCGGGACCTGCCGCTTTCCCCCGCCTTAGTAATCGAATACATGACTCTACTTCTACTTCTGATGGGGGCTCAAGTGATACCACCCAAGAAGTCACAGTTGTTGACACGGGAGTAACTACACTAGCGTGCGGCCAGCTAAACTGTTCCTTGAAGTACTCGGCCCATCGGTCAAGCGTTTGCTGTTTGTTATGGATGGGTTCTCCATTCCTATTGCAAATCGTTTCACTGACCTGAGTTCGCCGTCCACCGGTGTCACGAATAAGTTTGAACAGTCTTTGACTGTTACCTGAAGCAGCTGCCACTTCCATTTCTTCGGCTACATTGACCCACCAATTTTCGCGATCCTTCTTAAGGCTTCGCGTAACTTGTCTTTGCAGCTTTCTCCGCATCTTATTCATCTTCTTACGGTTCAAAAGCTGACGCTTTTGCTCCATTATACTCAGCGACTCTTGCGAGATCCAGTGTCTCTGATGGACAACGGATCGAGGACCACAGGCGAAACCTGCTGCAAAGTGCATCGCTTGTTTGATATGAGCCCAATGCTCATCTACATTACTGTTCTCCGTGGATCCTAGTTCATGTGCTAACTTCTGCTCATAACGGGTGCAAACGTCTGGATCACACAAACGTTGCACGGCTAATCCGGTTTGCGGTTTGCGACGATGGCCATGGAGCTGGAGAGATAATCGCATTAAAACTAAGGCATGGTCCGACTCTACGTACGTGGACCAGTAAGATCTACAGTTCTGAACAGAACTGCGCCATCGGTAGCTTACTGCGATATGGTCAATTTGACTCAAAGTACTTGTAGAGTTAGAGCGCCATGTCGCTGTGCGACGCGAGCTGTGTCGGAAATTTGTGCTAGACAAGAACAATCGATTGTCTGCACAAAATTGGAGAAGCCTATCCCCGTTATCTGTGCGCTCAGCGGGTAGAGCACAACGCCCACCTAAACAGGCTTCTGACACACTAAGTTTGCCAACTTGTGCATTGAAGTCACCAGCTAGCACTACAATGTCGGAACCTTTACTGCTGCGAACGAGAGTCGCGAGGGCATCATAGAACTCATCTTTCTGCAAGTCTGAGCTACAGTCCGTTGGGGCGTACGCCGAGATCACGAACAAATTGCGTTTAACACAACTGTCCTTTCGAACGCCGACTGACCCTTGGAGTCTCACAGCACATAAACGACTGTTAACAGGGATCCAGTCTAATAGGGCAGCCTCAGCCTTGTCAGTCAAGACAATTCCTACACCACGTTGACCCACAGCTCTAGCTGCTTCGTCTCCTGAGGTGCGCAGAATATACCTCGATGAGATACCAGGAGCAGTTAGCTGAATTACATTGCTCGAATCCTGGATACGCGTTTCGCTTAAGCAGCAAACATCAATCTTCAGAGAGTTCATTGTGAGGGCTAGGCACGCCTGCTGACCGGCTTGCATGAGTGTACGCACGTTGAAGGAGCCGAGATTCAGAGGCTGACGGGGCTTGAGAAAATGTGGGCTACCAGACAGAGGATTATTCCCGACACTATTTGACATTGAATCGTTGCGAGTATCGACCGTGTTGCTAGTGGGAGCATTATGGGTGGATAGATGGGGCAAAGAGGGATGGTTAGGGACAGAAGACAAAGGTTGAGTAACAGAGAGGGAACTCTGAGCAGTAGTACACTTATCACTACCCACCCCGCTCGATGCAATGGGCAGCGCGGTCCTGATTAGCCTGCGCGACGACCGATGCAGTATGGAATTCTTTGTATTCGTGCAGTTCATGGGATATATATATATATATATATATATATATATATATATATATATATATATATATATATCGGGAACACGAATATCGAACAAGCTTGTTTTCGGTAACATCATCCTCGTGGTCAACACAGCTCCATTCATAGATCAGATACGCATAATTTATGAAGTGTCTGTGTGCTAGAATGTGATTGGGTAGTTATCAAAATTGGTGTTGCGTAGTTGGGCAAGATAGGAGGGGAAATGTTGTTGTTCTGTGGACTGTTTTGAAAGCGTCTTGTTTTACGTGATGGTCACCGTCCTCAAATTGCACCACAATTGTACCGGTGGTGGATTTTCTGTTTGCGGTCTTCAGTCATGCTGGTTTATGCTCTTTGATCCAATGCAATAATTGCCGCGTTGTTCTATCTCTATAGCTTACCGAACACCAGCAAAGAAGCGAATAGGATAGCATGTATGAGGCGAGGATAAGTAATCTGTCGAGGAGTCTAGAGACAAACAACTAACAGAAGTCACAGTTGTAATTCATTTGTGGACTCTTCAATGAGGAGTATCCATTCACACTCTTGGCGATTCAAATTAGGTCCTAGTGAAAAATATGATGAAGTGTACAAGCACGAAGATCAGTGGGCAGAGAAGTACCGGGTACGCACACGCGATGAGCAGCAACAACCCCGAACTCGGTCGCGTGCTTCCGAGAAAATTGGTCCACCCATTCATATTGGGGGACAAAAATGTGCATGCACCCTGGGGAGGTGGAATTTCTCAACGTGCTACTAAAAACATGGTTAGTAGGCAAAGTGAAGCAAATGCCACAAAGTAAATAATAAAGTCGGTTAGAAAAGTTCACGCGGAAATTCCATGATAGAGAAGCAAATTGGTGGGCCTGATCGGTATTTGATGTCGAATAATGGTTCTGGGCTCCAAACTGACCCTAAACAAAGAGTCCATAGATGATATATTCCTTTTAAGTATACGGGGTACTAATGAAGATGAAGTGTGATCACGTCAGCGGTCCAGACGGGTTGTCGCCAAGGATGAAAACTGAACCTGCGCTCATTTCCTCCCCAGCGTTGACGTTTATTCCATCGGATATTTTCCGTTAAAATATCCTGGATTATGCTAGAATGGCATCCATGATCCCAGTGCATGCTCATTGCCTGGAAGATATACCGTGGAATCTAATAATCTGGACTTGTGTTCAGAGTCTGTTATTGCATCGAACAGCCTATCAGATAAGAAAAACTGGTCAACTTGCTATCGTTATCTGAGTGTCTCACTTCATTTCAATATATGCCACACACTATTTTATTTTTCATTCTGTAAGATACGTAAAGCCGCCAGTATTTGTAGTCGAAACTGTAATTATGCATTCGTATGTGTGAGGAGAAAAAAAACTTCCAAATATACTAGGTGTACACGATAGCTCGCCGTCTACCAGAGGTCATTTATTTGACCGCCTGACTAATGACGGATAATCAACACGTGGTCAAGGCCACAACCTCTTACCTACTTTCAACGACAGAAGCTCTTCAGGATAGCATCCCATCACTCTGTTTCTATCCCAAATATACTATTCTTTTTAGGGTCTATTTTTAGACTTCAGTGAATAACTTATTCACCGATCTATTTCCTTTCATCATTTATTTGTAATCCACCATCTAAAAGCTACATGTTCGAATCATTTGCGTATCGTGTCAACCTTTTACGTGGTTCATCGTAAGGCATTTCTCATCATGCCTAAAAAGAACGTGATCCACAACATCCAACAAATCTGATTGATAGTTAACACCAGTACAATCATGAAATTTGTGGTGCACTCCTTCAGACTGAATATAAACCTTTGATGGGGTGAGTCTAATCTGCCAGTGGACACAAGATAGTTTCTGAAGTGCAACAGAAGTGACCAGTTGCCGTCAGAGTACTGGTACAAAAACTAACACTACTAAGGATTGACCAAAAAATGAAAGAGGACTGTGAAGCAATACTTGTGAGGGATCTATGAAGGGGGACATATTACTGGCTGGGAAAATAGTGTTTTGGCACTGCATATGTCTTAGGTGGATGATGAATATATCCTCAGTCTCGCTAATAGGAGCGAATCATCCAGATCCGCACCATGTTTCCCGTTACAGTAGGTGGCCATTGCTGAACCCGTATCGTGCAGCGTGTCCACACAGACATTCATGAAATCTACAGTGATGCATCGACCACGCTTTTCGAAAGACATGATGATAACTTTTTCTTATCATGTGGCGACGTAAATAAAGCTAGATCAAGGCTATCACCACCGTATATGATCAAGCAATCTCTGCTTTACGTGATGACGGACATAGACAAAGCTGAATGAACGCATTTAATTTTAGGCAACCGCACACATTCACCTTTAGGCATCATTGGTTTCCCGGCCATACATACTCACACTTTCCGGTGCACGATACTCTTCCAGGGACTGGGTTCACCCAGCTATCCCTAAGACTATCTCAAACGCGTATTCACGCACCCACAAATTCACACATCACGACAATCTCGAGTGAGAAATACCAAACCCAAGCGGTAATAAACTTGAATAGCAATTGGACGTATTTAATTGTGAAATGGGTAATCAAGTCGTTTTGGCCTGTAAAAAGTACGGAAAGGCAGTTACGTCATCAAATGGCTAAACACCTTCCAGCGTGGTTTCAGAAGACAACGAACAGCAAATTCACCACGTTGGATCGTCAAACGATCAAAGGTCAATCAGGTCACCAATTGCTCAATATCATTTCGAGACCAAGCATTGTCATCGCAAATCGGGCAACAAAGTGATCTACTCAAGCGCGATTAGCAAACTATCGTTCACGGAGAACGATATACCGGTTATTCTAAGAATCAGAGAACGATTACTTCTTGAAAGCCAGAACAACTTGATTACTCATTTCATAATTAACTAAGTCTTATTGTGATTCAGATTTATTACCGTTTGGGTTTGTTAGTTTTCATTCGAGATAGTTGTGGTGTGTGTATTTGTGGGTGCATAAATGCATGTGTGTATGCTGACTGCAACACACGGACTATATATATATATATATATATATATATATATATATATATATATATATATATATATATATATATATATATATATATATATATATATAATATTCAAACTTCAGGTTCCTAACTACAGTTTCATACAAAAAATGGTGTAGCACGGCAAGTTCGACTTACCCGCTGTCTGACTTGGACACAGGCGTTCCAGTAATCTTTTGCGGCCGTCCGGGTACAATCAGAACATTGTTGGCTGTGAACAACGAACTCAATCAGAATTTCTTGTGCCACCATATCACCCGTGGGTAGCTCACCGTGCACAGTAATCTGAGTAAAAAGGACCGGAAAGCAGCGATGACGTTAGCAAAGAGGAGACAGGACAAAATACTCAAAACAACATAACAAAGTCTAAAACGGAGTAAAACTGACAAAAACACGAGTGCAGATAACCCACACCATTTCATTGAAAAGACAGTGGGGAACACTGTGCAGCTGCGGTACACACCACGGACATCTCTAAGAGACGGCTCAATCACATGTGACGGGAAAAGATGACTGGTGAGGAATGAATGTTTCACTATATTAATGTCATCAGATCTACAAAGTTTGCCAGCAGGAAAATCAGCGTAGGTGAAAACAGGGTGGTATAATTTCCAAAACGGAAGTGATGTAATTAAACTATTCTCGCCGAGCAAATATGCAAGTCTACAATGGACGGAACGTATTTCATGTTTTCAAGAAATGACTCTAATATCAACGAGAATCGGCCATTACGACTCTGATATTTAAGGAGCAAAGTCATTATCATCCGCATCCACATCCGCACCGTTGGCTTCAGCCGTGAGCCACATCCTTCATCATCTCCAGCCAACTGCAATCCCCACAATTTGGCACCAACTGAGACCAATCATGATATCAACTTCCTCCTAGTCGTAAGAAAATTCATAATTTGATTACCGGGTCACTTTTTTCCAGTTATATCCAGCATGGGCGAATACAGTGCGAAATGGCCGAAGATGGGAAGGAAAACCCTAAACATGGCCGCTCCATCGAAGCCGGTGTAGAGTACATATTTCGTCTAGTGTGGCTATCCGTACTCAATGCACGACTACCAACCAAGTCGTTGCTCCCTTGATGTTCACACCAGACGTTAGCAGTTCTTCGGAGATATCGGTGGTCGAATATGATGTCATCAGTATTCCTCAGCGCAGAGCGGCCAGGATTCAAAGACGTAGAGTAAAACGATTCGCACTGTGGCACAGAAGATTTATGCTTTAAAAGAGAAACGGACGTCGTGACGACACCACAAATGTTGCATATTGACGAAAGCCGGTCTGATCTTCGCTAAGTGTAATGTGATCCTCCCCGGAAAGCATCTCCAACTGTAAGGAAGCTCCCGAGATACTAAAAGCCATTGTCTAATTCTAACCGTTCACTACAAAAGATAACTGTGGACGTAGGCGCGGGATTGTCAGTTCTGTAAACGTACTTTGCACTTTTGTGTAGCAAGGCGAGCATGACATCTGGACGCCACAAGTGTCAAACGGCTCAAAACGTGTTGTACTGCCTGTCCAACCCACATCGAGTGATTTCTCACGTGACTGGGAGATGGAACAGTTTGCGAGAGATCCTCGCAGTGGCGGCGCGTTCCATCTCTGATGAAGGTTGCGACTACCTGAGTCGAATTCACGTCACGTTAAGAACCTTAGTTCGTTATGCTCGTTTCTGGCCGGGAATGACCTGAGAACGTCGACAAGGACCAGAGATTCATATTCATACGGCGCGACGATACAAGTCACAACCCACAAGCCCAGTGGAATGTAGAGCATTACTGATAAGTGACCAGAACTGGTTGGTGTTATCGGATGGATATTACAGCATGTTATCAGTCGGATGAATGAGCTGGTTGGTCAAAATTGTCAGTCTAACCAGCATCACATCAGGTGTCTTGGGTGCCCATCGGAGCACGCGGACAACTCAACACACACCAAAGTGCGGTCGGAGTTCGCGGAAATATGCCAGTATGATCAGTACCTTTGTATACAAACCTGCCATTTTTGGATTATGGGTGATCTGCGTTCATTGCTGACCGGAAAATAGGGGACTCCAGGTGGCTTGCCGGCGATTAGAGCGTCTGAAATTTGTGCTGGCGAGAAACAGACGATGGTCGGAGCTCAGAGTCAAAAACTGCTCCCCGTTCTCTGAACGATAGGAATTTAGACCAAAAAAGGGTCCTAAATGCGCCTCGTTCGATGACAGTCAACTTACTCCAGCACTCATATCTATGACCAAAATCATGATATCTGCCCGATTTAACCTACGTGAGACACCCTGCAGTTTTTGGTAAGAGTTATCTTTGATTGTATCTAGGCTGCAATCGGTGGGTGCATATGCTGAGACAAAAAAACAGACTGCGTTTATCGAGACGGCGGCGGTAAATTTTGCGCAAATTTTCAAGTCTCCCTGTACATACCCGAATGTTGACTGGGATCTAGTCTGGCAGCGCAACTTCAGTCCCCTCACTGAGAGTCACGCATATGCCAGCAAGACCAGAAACAGCAGCCTCAGGGTCTCTATAAAAAAGTGGGACTTCAGAGAAGGACGAGATGGGACATCAACTGAATCATGGATCCGAAGTGTTTAATACCAGTCTCCCGAATGCAAAAACGTCGATGGCTACGGAGCAAAGTGTGTGGGCTAAACATGTCTGTTTCTCTGTACGCATCAGATTTCGCACGCTGAACGTGCCTGGTATGAGTGCGCATCCGCAGGCGGCAGCGAGTTCCGTGAGACTTAGAAGCTAGTTGCAGAAGGGAGAGAAAGAATATGGTCAGGATTTACATCGGAAGCACTGTAGCCACTACGGACGGCCGAAGCATCCGTCGGGTACGAAAAAGAAACTACGAGAAAGGGAGGGAGAAATGAACCAGATGATGTGAAACTAAGTTGTTTTGTACGGTGTAAAAGAGCGATCGTGTGTGCATGGAAGAACAGCCAATCATGACAGTGGTAGAATTTATGGCTATATGCATTAAGGACTGTTGTACTACTCGGTCGACCACTTCAGATTACGCCCTTTTTATTTGAGGGTGCACCTCTATCCTTTGCCTGTTTTCAAAGGCAGCAGCGCTTGGGCAGATGAGCCGATGGTCAATTGTATCGTTCTAGAAAAATTGTCGGGCAAACGGAACACGATGAAGAATTGTAGCCTCATCTAGCGACAAGCCACACTCGGCACATCACTGCTGTCCACTGATTCGTGGCGCCCTAGAGACCGGATAACGCTAATCAAGGGGGAAAACCACCATCACATTTCTAAATTGATCAACACACTCATAGCGCCAGACCATTATCAGTGAATTTTGACCTGTATTACTTGTTCAAACCAAATTTTGATGTTCATCTTCGCATCCTTTCGTGTGATATCTCTTGTGTCAGCTTTTCGTGCGCTGTTTTCAGCAAAATCTGCAGTAAAGTAAATCAGACAGTGACACATACTGAAGACAGATTTTAGACTTAGGCACAGCACGTTCTATGGATCAAATTATTTAACTGCTCAAAAGTCTAACTTAGATTATCATAGAAAATACACGGAAACGCTAACCAACGAACTAAGCTTTTTTCGGTTGATTTTCACGAGGTATAGTGCAATAAAGGGAGAATACTGAAACCAATGTCAGCTTGGTAAATATATCATTTATTTTGTGGTTCAACCAGTGGATGATTCTTCATTGGTTTAAATATATAATTACATATATTTACACCAACTTGAGATCAAGCAAGGTTCCAACCCAACAAGAACAATCACAAAATAGGGGAAGGGGCGTACAATAAAATAAAACAGACCGTGAGTGAGAGAGGAAAAATGCTGATTTTTTGGCTTTTCCCCGTACAACTTTTGCTTTTGTTTTTGTCAACTTGTTTGTCAGAATGACCTTTTTGTGGTCACAGGGCACGAGAGTCCGACAGACAGACCGCACAGTATTCGTGCCAAACTTCTATTCTTAGCCACGTCCCTCAACATCTCTAACCAACGACGATCCTCATCCCTCGGGCCCCAACCACGGAGGTGGGGTGCTCCAACCGAAGCCAATGCTGATGCTAGATTGTTCATACCTCTACGCCAAGTCATAACCTGACCGCCGCTTCGCTTCTTCCAGCTTTGTCCAGTACGTGCAAATAGAGCACGGAAAGGTAGATGAGGGGCAGGCATTCGTGATGGTCGTCAAGTGATTCGAAGCGTTTACCTCCTCGGTCAGTCGTTCGAATTCCGCCACTGAGGACCACCTCAGCGGCAGATAGCAATCTACTGCCGCCCGGCTTGTTAGCATGCCTGGTCTATCGAGACCTTATGTAGTTCTCCACGCTAAGTCCCTCGGTCAGTTTTCCAGTTATTTCTAATAGTGCAGTGGGCTATTAGAGCTGCACGCATGCGCAAACATATCCAGTTCAGGCGGAGCAACCTGTTGTGAACTGATTTTTTATCGTTTCTTCTTTGTTGTAATTATTATCACATCTTAATCTCAAGTATGAGTACAATCGACAAGTTCAGCAGAGCCTTCTTACTCTGCAATTGTAATCGATTACTCGTCTCCAATTCAACACAATCTAACCAAATTGTCAGATGGAACGAGTTCTTCAAACAGTGATTTGATGCTGATACTCACTTATCAGACACAAGTGATTTCTTGATCTGTTGGAAAAAAACTCTCGATAATTCTCTAACCCGCATAAATCATCTGGATTTGGATGAACACGCTATTCTGACCTATCGGATTTCACCTTCTGTGCACAAACACCGAATGTACAAACTTCGACTGTCATCGAAACGTTAACTAACCTCCACATTCATACTAATAACAGGATTGTCGTTAGACAAGTCCTCTTGACTGTCATCAAGAAAGCAGGTAGACTCTTGACCAGTTCCTTCAACGTCCAAAACTTTTCGCTGTTAATTATAACTTCAAAGCAGTGACGCCTGAAGTAAACCGTGATAAATTTATGTGATCTCCTCATTCGCGGGACGCTCTCCAGTGAAATTCGATGAAAACTCTTAAAAAATGTATTTCGAAACAATTTCTGATCTAGCCAAACAACTGGAACCGATTAACACGAAGTCTTTATCGTACAACCGTGACATATTTATGTGCTGCACGAAACAAACAACACAACCTTCTGAATTAGTCACATCTCAAACGTCCAATTCGGAGGACGTTATCTCAGCTGCGTCCTTTACTCTGCCATTTTTTCTACTTCGCCATCCGCACACTCACTGTCCTACGAGTATTGCCGTATATAAGGTTTGCGAAAACAGGGGACACTTTCTG